CAAGGGCTAGTATGAGTTGTGGGGAGAGAGGCAGCCATAGCCTGGGAGGTTTTTGTATTCGGTTTAATGGAATATATTGGCCTAGAGATTGAAATGTGTTAACATGACTCCTGCCACTGTACAGCACTAAACAGTGAAACAAGGTTTGGGATTTTGGAACGCACAGACATTGGTCTGCTCAGTCCTACAGCAAACACCCCCTTAAAAGTCCTTGTAACCTTTTATTAAAGACACAGAACAGGAAGGAAACAGTTCACACATTTGAAATGTATCGTATTGAGTGAGGCTTTTGTTTTAACAATATTCTTTTGCTATAGAGAGTTTTTAGAAGGGAAAAGCCCCATCTGAAGGTCTCTTTGATGGTATTAAAGATGGTCATAACTGTCCTTTGTTTTTCCCTTTGTTATTTTGGATTTTTTGTTTGCTTTTGTTTGTTTGTTTGATTTTGGTAAAGAGAAGGAGTTAGTTGAGATGGGCTGGATCTGTTGTTGCAGACGGATGCTGTTTCCGAAAAGACAGAACAAGCCAAAAACACACAAAAAGGGGAAGATTGAAAAAGCAGCTTCAGTTACTGGTGTTGACTTTCACTTGCAGCCTTACTGCTGGCGAACTAAAGACACAGCACACGGTCCGATCAGCCACTCTGAAACCTGGCAAACTTGTACCTGCATTGTGCTGCTCAGAACATTGCTTTTTGCTGCCTCTTTAGTCACAGGATCACAGCAGTGTTGCAAAATATGCAGTCTTGGCCAGCTCAGCCAGACTCTTACTAAACAGAAGGCAAAAGGAGAGGGAGTTGAAAGAGGAGAAATAGGAGGGAAGGGGGGGCTGTGGAGCCAGTGCTCCCATCATCTTTAACTAAATTTGGGGCTAGAGCTGGTCTGGAGGTAAAAGGCCTCTGCATGGAGAGCCCTGGCCTTCTGCAGTGCTCTGGGGATGTGCGGGGCTTGAGGGTGGGCCTTGTGGCTTTGTTCCCTCTTCGCCTCCTACCAGGATGATGTGGAGGTATCTCAGGTACGGTCTCCTCATGGAGATTTCCTCCTCCAGAGCCTTCTACCATGGGTTTGACCATGGCAGTGGGATGACTTAGCCGTAGAATCACAAGAAACTGCATCCTGAAAACAATTCAGGTCAGATCAAAACCCTCATTGGACAAAGGATCACGGTGCAGTATGAGTGAATGGAGAGAACAATCAACAGCGGTGTGGAACTTTCTGTACTCTGCTACTTTCTGGAAGCCAAATTCTGCAACATGGGAAATTCGCAGGGCCCAAATTCTTCTCTTACAGAGATGTATCTTTAAATGACTGCCCTTGTCTGATTTCTAGCCCCATACTAGCCCATGCTTATTAAACTCTTAGGGAACAATGTGAATGCCTATTGAGCACATTTGCAGAAGTGGAGATAGAGAGTGTATATTTTAATACAGGATTGAGTTCAAGCTTCTCTGGCTGCTCACACTTCTGGGAATGATTTCAGCAACTGTTCTGATCATCAGAGAAGTTGTCCCAAGGAAGGCCCCGATTTTACAAGCTGATCATTATGGGTGGTTCACTGCACCTAGGATGAAGCTCACCGAAGACTCTGCAGGTGTCTACCTACATGGAGCTGCTAGCAGGGTTTGAGCCTGAGAGTGTTTGAAATGGGGTCCTCTTTCTACCTAGGATTCATTTACAAAGCAGCTGATGTAACAGTGACAACATAGTGGTGTGAGTAAAAATATTTGAAGGTGTAAAATTGCCATGCAATGGAGTCAAACTCAGTAGAAGTCCCAGTGCTATTACAATGAGATGAGTGTGGGTGGACCCCTGTGGCTGTACACATAAGTTTGGGGGCCAAAGCCACTGATCCTCTAACTGATCCACATGGAAGGACTTTTGTGCACGTGCAGAGCCCCAGTGAAGTCAATTAGACTATTCACATGAGAAAACTCATGCAGAAGTGACACAGTCCCCCAAACGGGTCCACTTCGGTGGATCCCTGCGTGCATGTGGCAGACCCTCCTTGGCTTCCATGGAGCTCCTTGTAGGTGTAAGGACTCGAGTGCGCAGGACAGCTTGTGGAATCCTGGCCAGTGTTTGCAGGGCCGGGGCCTGATTTAAAACAATATGCAACGAGTGAGTGTGACAAACACTAGGAGGAAAGGGCATGTGAAATGAGAGTGACAGTAACAAGTTCAGCCTGGCCCATGGGCTAGTTGTGTGTGGTTGGTTTGTGGGTGTTTTTTTATAATATACATTATCCTGCATGGTTCTGGTTGGGAGTGTGTGTGTGTGTGTGTGTGTTTTATAACATCATTACCCTGCGTGGTTCTGTTTGGGAGTGTGTGTGTTTCACATCTATGTGTGTGTGTTTAACATTTGTGTGTGCGTGTGTGTGTGTGTTTCACATCTGTGTGTGTGTGTTTTCTCATATCTCTGCCTGTTTGTAGTCTGTCTTAGGTACTCCTGTGGCCCCATTACTGTAGGAGCTGAGCACCTCCCAATCTTTAAGGTCTTTATCCGCACACCACCACTGGGAGGCAGGGCAGGGCTGCAACCCCCATTGCAGGGGTGGGGAACTGAGACACAGAGAATGTGGGACTTCAATGGGATTTAGGTGCGTAAACCCATGAGGATCTGGGCCCAAGTGACTGGCCCACCGTGGCACTGGGAGCCTGCAGCACAGCAGGGCCTGGATCCCCCGGCAATCCCAGGGCTGACCCCATGACTGTTCACAGCCGGGCCGGGGCCCTTCCCCAGAGCAGTGCGAGGGACCCCGCTGGGAGGCGCATCCCGCTCTTTCCCTGCGGTGGTCGCAAGAGGAAGCAAGAGGAATCTGGGATGGGGCAGCGGAGGCAGAGCCCGGGTTGCCCATTGCTAGGTGACAGGGAGAGGCGGGACCCAGGCCCCGCCCCTGGGCGCTCACTCCCCACCGGGCCCCGCACATGCGCAGTAGCCCAGAGCGACAGGCTCCCCCTGTTGCCGGACTCCGGAGCTGCAACCTCCGGGGCAAGTGGGAGCCGGACCAGTCCTCCCTAGTTCCGCCCCAGCTGGGAAACAGCGGCCTGCGGGCGTCCCCCAGCCCCTGCAGCGGGGCTTATCCGGCCCCCAGCGCCCTCACTGCCAGCGCCCCCCCCAGTCTCTGCTATAAATTGAAGCAAATATGCCATTACTGAGTTTTTTCAATATAAACAAATCCCCCCACCTAGCTGGAATTCTGTGTTGTGGTCACCCTATCTCACGAAGGACATCTCAGTAATAAAGGGCTCAGAAACAAGCATGCGGCGGCGGGGGGGGGGGGGGGTCGGAGGGGGAGAGTGAGGCAGTGGGAAGACTGTA